TTCCTTCGTTCCTTCGTGGTTCAAAAGGTCTTTGCTTGATTAGTTGTGGGGGCGCGTAGCCGCTAGCGGGTGACGGGCGCCGACCAAGCGGCCTGCTTGACGGCCTGAGCGTCGGCGTCGTGGGCTGGGCGGAGTTCGGGGACAACCTCGGCGCCGGGTCGCGCACGCTGCAAGCCCTCGACCACGACTTGGTCACTTGCTTCGATTCCCTTGAGGATCACACGCTCCTTGCCGTAAAGCGTGCCGAGCGTCACGGGGCGGTACTCGACTTTCTTCTCGGGCCCGACCACCAGCACGTAGTCGCCACGCTGGTCCGAGCCGATCGCGCTGTCGTCGATCAGCAGACGTTCTTGTGGCCCGCCAATCGGGTAGCGGATGTGAACAAACAGCCCCGGACGGAGTGAGCCATCGGCGTTAGGGAAGATGCCACGCCGCTCGGTCGTGCCGGTCTGTGGATCAACGCCGAACTCGCTGAAGTCGATGTAGCCCTGGTAGGCGTAATGATCGCTATCGCCGATGGCGAGTTCGATTGGAGTCCGCCCCTCAGGGTCGCTAGGGATCTCGCCCGTACGCCGCATCTCGAGGAAACGCAGTAGGTCGGACTCGCTCAGGGTGAAGTAGGCGTGGATCGGATCGATCGACTCGAGTGTCGCCAGCAGCGTTTCGCCCGGCTGCACGAGGTTGCCCGGGTCCACCATCCGACGGCCGATCCTGCCCGTAAACGGCGCACGGATCTCCGTGTAGTTGAGATTCAGCTCGGCTTCCCGGACTGCCGCCTCGGCGGCCTGCACATCGGCAGCAGCGGCGGCTTGCTGGGCGATGATCTCGTCGAGTTCGTTCTGGCTGACCGCTTGCCGCGTCACCAGCGGTTCGGTGCGGGCGAGTTGGCGATCGGAGAGCTCGAGCTGCGCCTTCGCTTTCGACAGCGTCGCCATCGCCGAGCGCAACGTCGCCTCGAACGGCGCGCGATCGATCTCGAACAGCAGCTGCCCCTGCTGGACCGTGTCGCCGTCGCGGAACTGGACGCTGTTGAGGTAGCCGTTCACGCGGGCCCGCAACTCGACGCGGTTCATTGCACGGGTCTGAGCGACCGTGGAGTAGTACTCCTGCACCCGCTGCGACAGCGGCGTGGCGACGGTCACCTTCGGCGGCGGGGGCGGCGCGTAGGTGTTGGGCTTCTCACAGCCCGCAGCTAGCAGAATCAGCACGCCCGAGAGCACGACATTGGGAATCGACTTCATAACGTTCACACCACGGGGCCAGTGCACGAGCCGGCTAGGCACAGTAATGGTTCGGGGGGATTTGGGTTTGATCGTTGATGCGAGGGACCACTGGGAGCCGTTAGTCGCCCTCAAGGTTCGTGTGAACCCGCTCAAGCAGCGAACGGAGCGTCGCAATCTCACTCTTCGTGAGGCCCTTCGTGGCCCGTTGATTGATGCGTTTCGCGCAGCCGATGATCCGTTCCCACACGGGTAGCGCCCTCTCGGTGGGGCTGATGATCCGCTTGCGGCGGTCGTCGGGGCACGCCTTGCGCTCGATGAGGCCGTCGCGCTCCATACGGTCGATGACCGACACGACGGTGGGGGGCTCGACGCCCATGCAACGCGACAGGTCCGCCTGGGACTGGTCCCCCTCCATGGCGAGCCAAGCAAGGACCTGCATCTGACGGTACGAAATCCCCTCGTCGGCGAGTAGAGTGTTCATATGCAATTCGAAGCGGTGGGCGCATACGTGCACCCAGTAGCCCGCGTCGGATTGGAAATTGTGCTTGAGCAACTCGACTCCGATGTTGCTAGACGCCGAATGATTAGATATCGAATTATTCGACATCGACGCAGCGGAAGCAAGGCCGATTGCGGAAACCTTGACGACCTAAGCCGCTAGCAGCGACTGTGGCCGCGCGGAACAGGTGGTAAACCCTGCGTCTTATGCCGGCAACGGCAGGCTGGGAGGAGCCGCGAAGGCGGCATAGGGCGGATGAATGGTGGGATCGCTGCGTCCGTGGCGACCGATAGAGACCGCAGAATCCTCGTGAGGCGACGCGCAGGGAGGCGCTATGCACCACAACAATTACCCGTCAAGCCGTTACTCAACGCCCCGGCGCCTGCGCCGCTACGCATGCCTCGCCGTAGCGGCGGTTGCCGTCGGCGGCTCCTCGGGCTGCATGACCAGCTTCAAGGAGTACGTCCACAACGGCTTCAAGGTCGGGCCCAACTACTGTAAGCCCGCCGTCCCGGTTAGTGACGAATGGGTCGAGGCCCGCGACAAGCGGCTCTCGAGCGAACCGGTGGACCTCCGTGATTGATGGGGAGTCTTCAACGACCCGTGCCTCGACGAGCTGATCCGCATCTCGTACGCCGAGAATCTCACGGTCCGTGACGCCGGCTACCGTGTCCTTGAGGCCCGCGCGATGCGTCAGGTCGCCGTCGGCGGACTCTTCCCGCAGCAGCAGCAGGCGACCGGCTCGTACACCCGCACGCAGATCAGCGACGAGTCGGGCTTCGGCGGCGCCGGATTTGGCGGTGGGCAGATCGACATCTGGCAGTTGGGCGGGCAGCTTGCCTGGGAACTCGACTTCTGGGGCCGCTTCCGCCGCGCGATCGAGTCCGCCAACGCCGAACTCGACGCCTCGGTCGAAGCCTACGATGACGTGCTCGTGATCCTTGTCTCGGATGTGGCCTCGACCTATGTCGAGATCCGCACGCTCCAGCAACGGATCGCCTACGCCGAGCAGAACGTCGAGTCGCAATCGGGCTCGCTCCGCATCGCCACCGACCTGTTTGAGGGCGGCGCCGCCGGCAAGCTCGACGTGACCCAGGCGCAAACCAATCTTTCGCAGACCGAGGCGCTAATCCCGCAGCTGCGGCTGCAACTCCGACAGGCGACCAACCGGCTCTGCGTTCTGATGGGCCGCCCGCCCGAGGACCTATCGCCGATCCTGGCGATGTCGCCGGCCAAGATCCCGACTTCCCCGAAGCAGGTCGTCGCCGGCATCCCTGCTGAACTGGTGCGGCGTCGCCCCGACGTCCGTCAGGCCGAGCGCCTCGTCGCCCAGCAGAGCGCCCGCATCGGCATCGCCGAAGCGGACCTCTACCCGGCGTTCTCGATCACCGGCAACCTCGGCTGGCAGGCGCCGACGTTCAATCGGATGTTCCAGACCAGCGCCTTCACGGGGAGCATCAGCCCGGGCTTTACCTGGAACATCCTCAACTACGGCCGTCTGCGTGCGAACGTCGCTGCTCAGGATGCTCTCTTTCAGCAGCGTGTCGCGCAGTACCAACAGACGGTGCTCGAAGCGCACCGCGAAGCCGAGGACGCGATCGCCGCATTCCTGCGATACCAAGAGCAAGCCGAGGCGCTCACCAAGAGTGCGGACGCGGCGCTCGAATCGAGCGACCTTGTGCAGCAACTCTACAAGGGCGGCCAGACCGACTTCGGCCGGGTGTTCGTCGCCGAGCTGGCGCTCGTGAATCAGCAAGACGCGAAGGCAGTCGCCGAGGGTCAGATCGCCCAGGGTCTCGTTGACATCTACCGCTCTCTCGGCGGCGGCTGGCAGGTCCGGCTTGGCGGCCCGACCCGACTACCGGTCGTCATCCCCGCGGAAGACGCCGAAAGCGTCCCCACTCCGTTGCCCGCTGAAGAGACGCCGGCTGAAGAGGCGCCGTCGGAAGTGACGCCAGAGGAAGCCAAGGAACCGACGATCAACCTGCCGGTCTTCGCCGCGAAGTAGACACCCCAAGTCTCGCCATACCGTTGTTGTACGAGTTCTCCAATCATGCGCAATCAACGTTTGTCCGGTGGCTCGCTAGGCCTTGTCTTGGCGATGTGGCTGACGGCAACGCCGTCACAGGCGATCTTCGGCGTTTGCTGGGACGATTGGTTTGGCGGCAAGTGCTGCTGTCCGCAGAAGTATTGTTGCGACGACTACTGCCCGAAGCCCCTCCCGTGCCCGCCTCGGGCGGATTGCTGTCGGCTCTGCGACGATTACTGCCACAAGCCGTTGCCGTGCCCGCCGTGCGTGGACTGCCGCCTACTCTGCGACGATTACTGCCCGAAGCCATTGCCGTGCCTGCGCTGTCGCTCGACGGAGCACGACGTCTGCATCCCGTACCGGATCGGCTATCAATGTGGTGAGGCTTGCGGCTGTGTCGGTGGCGATTGTGCCGCCAGCATCGACGGAAACTAACACCGATCTGCTCGGGAATGGTCCGACGCGTGCGCCGTTTCCGCTACAGGGCAGTTGTGGTTACGATGGCGGCGCGCGGCAGATCGCAACGGCGACGCCAGCGCGACGTTTAAATGCCACTCCTCCGCAATCGTATCGCCGCGCGGGCCCATGAATCTCCTCTGGATCGTCCTGCCCAGCGCGGCAGTATTGGGGATCGCCTACGTCACCTACGGCCGGCTCCTGGCCCGCCTGCTGCGTCTCGACGCCAAAGCGCCGGTGCCGGCGATTGAGCAACGGGACGGCCTCGACTTCGAGCCCATCTCGACCGCCGAACTGCTGCCGCAACATTTCTCGGCGATCGCCGCCGCAGGGCCGATCGTCGGCCCGATCCTCGCTGGTCTGTTGTTCGGCTGGTTGCCGGCGCTACTGTGGATCTTGATCGGATCGATCTTCATCGGCGGCGTGCAAGACATCACTTCGCTGGTCGCTTCGATCCGCCACCGTGCGAACTCCATCGCCGAGGTCGTGCGGCTCTACATGTCGCGGCGTTCTTACTTGATGTTCCTGATCTTCATTTGGATCGCGCTGGTCTACATCATCGTCGCGTTCACCGGGGTGACAGCCGCGGCGTTCGTCGGCGAGCCGCTGGCGGAGAATGGCGGTGTCGGCGGCGGCGCGATCGCGTCGGCTTCGTTGATCTACCTGACGATCACGCTGGCGATGGGCATTGCGATGCGCTACACGGGCATGCCGTCGTGGCTCGGGCTGTGCATCTTCTTGCCGATGGTGGTCGGGGCCATTGTATTCGGGCCCAGCGTCCCATTCGACTTGGCGACGATTACCGGTTCGAGCGAAGGCGTCGCGGTCAAGCTCTGGAGCATCCTGCTCCTCGCCTACTGCCTCGTCACCGGCGTCTTGCCGGTATGGCTGCTGCTGCAACCGCGCGGTCAGCTGGGCGGCTACTTCCTCTACGCCGCGCTCGGCGCCGGAGCGATTGGACTGGCGTTCGGCGGCGTGAAGGTCGAGTACCCGGCATTTCGCGGGTGGGAAGTCGCCACCGCTGCCGGCGGCGTCGCGACAATCTTCCCGCTGCTCTTCATCACGATCGCCTGCGGCGCCTGCTCGGGGTTCCATTCGCTGATCGCGAGCGGCACCACCTCTAAGCAACTACGCAACGAGCGCGACGCCAAGCCCGTCGCCTACGGCTCGATGCTGCTAGAGGCGATGGTTGCGGTGGTGTCGCTCTGTTGCGTGATGATGTTCGCCGAAGGCGCCGCAGAGCTCTCGGGCAAGCCCAACCAGATCTACGCGCACGGCATCGGCAAGTTCCTCGACGTCATCCACGTGTCCAAAGCGATCGGCGTCACGTTCGCGCTAATGGCGTTCACTACCTTCGTCTACGACACCCTCGACGTCTGCACGCGGTTAGGCCGCTTTATCGTCCAAGAACTGACCGGCTGGCACGGCCGTGGCGGCCGACTCTTGGGGTCGGGTCTGACGGCTGGCGTGCCGCTCTTCTTTATGTTGCGTCACCCGTCCGACGCCCCGACGCCGGTCTGGCAACTCTTCTGGAACCTCTTCGGCGCCAGCAACCAACTCCTCGCGGCGCTCACACTACTCGGTGTGACGGTCTGGCTGTGGCGCTCACGGCGAGCAAGGTGGGTCTGGCTCGTCACGGGCATCCCGACGGTCGTGATGTACGTCATGAGCA